TTTGGGGGATTGTTGGTCAAGGCACTGGGAGAAATTCCTTTCTCTTTTGGAGTAGTGCCATTGGATCTTTAACATCCACCTGAACAGGCAGATGGTGCCTCACCCGAAGGGCGGCACCTCAGACAATGCAGCCCCTCCGCCCCCATCCCCACCCCCCCACCGCCAGCACCACATTGGAGTGTCAGTTCAGACTATATGAGTTCCAAATCCCGACTTGAGGCTTGAACCCACAGCCTTCTGACTCAAGAGGCGAGAACTGAGCCAGGCTGACACAATCAGATTCTTGGCTGAAGAGAGGAATTGAGTGAGATGAGGTGTTCCACAGTGTGGAGAAAGGTTGAGTCACTATAGAAGTTGTCATGATGATTTGCAATTCTAACTACTTGAAAATGAAGAGAGGAGGAGGGAGTGTTAGATTATATATTTAGAGCTTAACTCTAAAAAGGTTAAAATAATTTCAGCTCTTATCTCGTCTCCTATACCATTATTTTTTTGTCACTGATGTTAAAACAAGAAATATCGCTTTGCTTTTCAATAACATACTTAGCTAGGTTTCTTGGCTGCCTCCAACTTCTTGAGGGACTTTCAGAATTTCAAAAACCTTGAACACTTTCAGGACAATTTTATATATTTTTATACGTTGTGAGCAGATGATTTAAACCTTCTCTCGTAATATTATAGAAAGTAACAAATAATTGGGAAAGGAGTTGAGTGGTGTAACAGCAACATGGCTCGCTCCAAAAATAGGGCAGCCAAGGGCTCAATCCCCCACATCTTTGAGCTCACCATCCCACCCGCATTGCTCTAGCAATGTACCAGTGAGGTAAGGCAGTGAGGTCATGTGTTACGTAGTGGCTGATCCAGAACACCCTGGTTTTAATTGTGACAACCGGGGAGTCTGACATGCATGGAAATCCCTTGCTATGCTTAAGAATGTCAAGTACTAGGTATTGAAGCCTTGCACACTTGCCTGACTCAGGTTTCAGATCAATGAATCCACCACAGAGAGATAACTCAACTTCATTCATCCAATGTGAAGTCTCTCAGCTTCCAGGACTTCTTCCCTTTCAGAGACAACTATATTTTGTTTGATTTTAAGAATACACATATTTGTAAATTTTCCCTGAATTGGAGTCAGTTGTGATTCTCTGTCCCTTTGCTACTGGGTTGCATTCCTTTACTTTCCCCACCCCCCACTCCACACATCCTCAAGCATGGTTACCTATCTTTAAGTCCCACCTGAAACCATACCTCTTCAACTGCGTCTATACCCACTATTACATCACATTCAAATGAATCTAAGGCATCCAGGATGGCGAAACTAACAGTAAGGCTACAGTTTAATGTGAATATGAGCCTCACAGACAAGAGTGGATGTTTTGTGCTGAATTAGCTGATCTCAGTCGGGGTAACGATTGAGAGCATCACAGTTAAATCGGGATGAGAACAAGATGGTTGCATTGGTCACTGCAGACCTCAGGAGAGGAGAAAAAGCTGGAGAGCAAAATAAACAATTCTTGGGCCTGATAGCACATAACATACTAATCATATGTTGTTCATCCATTTTATTGTCAGCTCCACTGGGTGTTTAAATGAGACATCTATAACCAACATCAATTTGTTGCTTGCTGATATTTCTGTGAGTTTTACTTTCTTTAAGCTGTCATCACAATCTCCTAAAACTAAGTTATAAAACAGGTAAATTATGTGCTGGTTTTGTAAACCTTGTTACATGTGACAGCATATGTTTATCAATGGTGTGATTAAAATGATGTAAGACTCTTCACTCTCCCAGCAAAATAAGTTATTATTTTCTTCTGAAAATCTTGGGCTCTACCCTTTTATGCAGAATGACGTTAGGCAATTTGACTGCAATCAACAAGCACATTGTCACTTTGAATGAATCAAGATCCCTGATTCAACCTGTGTGTAACACGGGCAACAACAACAACTTCACATAGGATAATATCTTTTGAGTGCTGTTCAGTAGGATACTGAGCAAGGGGCAGAGGTAATGATCAGAGGCACAGTTGAAGAGATACGTTTAGGGTAGGATGTAAGTATAAAGAGGGATCGAGACTGAAGGATCAAGGCAGCGAGTTCCAGAGATTAGGGGCACAGTGGCTGAAGGCTCAACTACCAATGATGGCACAGAGTGGATGAGGGAACTCAAGGCAGGCATGTGTTAGCTGAGCAAAGTGGACAAGCAGTGAGTGGGGTACGAGCAAGTAAAAGAGGTCAGATGGTGCTAGGGTTTGGTGGGATTTGCATTTGAAATCAATCTTCTTGAAGACAGGGGAGCCAGTTAAGCCTTGCAAAGATTGGAATAATTGATCTGTGGTGTTTGGTGCCAGTAAGGATACAAGGAGGGGGTGGGGAGCACTGAGAAAAATAGCTCTGATTGGTACACTGTTCAGTATCAGTGAACCCTGTTACAAAGTATGTGTATGTTTGTGCATAAATATCAGAGATGTGGACAGTCCTGAGCTCTGGTAAGATGTCTGACACTCATTGCTTGAGGGTGACTAATCCAAATGAACGGTTACTTGAGTGAGTGTCCATGAAACCATACCTCAGCACGTTAGCACCATCAGCAATGAAGACAAAAAAATGTGTCTGTTTTTAAAATAAAAAACTTTTTTTAATGAATAAAATTGTAATTACTGTGTATCCAGATTAAGCCGTTAACTATTTTGAACATGAACAAGAGCAAACAATTATAGCACCATATCACACAGTAGAAGGCCATTCAACCCATGTTTTTGTGTCAATGTTGAACTTCAAGAGGAGCCTCTATCCTAATCTCAATTCCTTGTTCTTCCTTGTTCTTTCCCTGGACCTTCCAACACCCTCTTCATGTGTTTGTCTAATTCTGTTTGAAACAACAACTTGCATTGATATAGTGCCCTTCACATGGGGTAATGTTTTGCAGCAAATAAATTGCCCCCCAAATCAAAAACATGAGCTGATATCCAGCTGAACATACACATTATTGTATCAGCCTGGCACAGTCTGTAGCGCTCTCGCCTGAGTCAGAAGGTTGTGGGTTCAAGCCCCACGTTGGGACTTGGAATCACAAATCACAAAGGAGGTGTCATCCTTCAGATGAAATGTCAAACCGAGGTCCTGTCTGCCTGTTCAGGCGGACGTTAAGGATCCCACGGCCGTTATTCAACAAGAGAAGGGAGTTTTTTCCCGGTGTTCTGGCCAACAGATCCCCCAAATAAAATTGTTCACTCACTCCATGGCTGTTTGTGGGACATTGCTGTACAGAAATTGGCTGCAGCAAAATGCAGAGTCAATCGATGTTGAGCTTTGAGGCTTCCCTGACGACGTGATAAGGCGCCATATCAAATGCGGGGATCGTTACCATCAAACGTCGTTCGAATGGTACACAGCAACTCCCCACCGTCCCCCTAAACCCCGCAACGCAGCAACTCCCCACCGTCCCCCTAAACCCCGCAACGCAGCAACTCCCCCACCGTCCCCCTAAACCCCGCAACACAGCAACTCCCCACCGTCCCCCTAAACCCCGCAACACAGCAACTCCCCACCGTCCCCCTAAACCCCGCAACACAGCAACTCCCCACCGTCCCCCTAAACCCCGCAACACAGCAACTCCCCCACCGTCCCCCTAAACCCCGCAACACAGCAACTCCCCCACCGTCCCCCTAAACCCCGCAACACAGCAACTCCCCACCGTCCCCCTAAACCCCGCAACACAGCAACTCCCCACCGTCCCCCTAAACCCCGCAACACAGCAACTCCCCACCGTCCCCCTAAACCCCGCAACACAGCAACTCCCCACCGTCCCCCTAAACCCCGCAACACAGCAACTCCCCACCGTCCCCCTAAACCCCGCAACACAGCAACTCCCCACCGTCCCCCTAAACCCCGCAACACAGCAACTCCCCCACCGTCCCCCTGAACCCCGCAACACAGCAACTCCCCACCGTCCCCCTAAACCCCGCAACACAGCAACTCCCCACCGTCCCCCTAAACCCCGCAACACAGCAACTCCCCACCGTCCCCCTAAACCCCGCAACACAGCAACTCCCCACCGTCCCCCTAAACCCCGCAACACAGCAACTCCCCCACCGTCCCCCTAAACCCCGCAACACAGCAACTCCCCCACCGTCCCCCTAAACCCCGCAACACAGCAGCTCAGTGTTCAGAGGGACCCCAGTCCGGGCGGTGCAGGGGCAGTGCCGCCCGCAGTCCACCTGCAATGTGGGACACTTCATCCTCGTCCTTAACCACAGCCATTTCGGTTTCTTCCGCGGTCGGGACGCGGTGTCGACACGAACGCAGAGACACTGACACTGAGCTCCCGGACACTTTGGTGAGTGGATGAGACACCTCTCGGCCGCCTGAACACCCCGAGGCTGCACTGGGGGGCGGGGGGGGGGGGCAGAGCCGCCCCAGTAACTCACAGCGGAGGGCACTGCAAATGTGAACTAATGTACTGTACGATGGGAACGGGTGTGTGTGTGTGTGTGTGTGGGGGGGGAGGGGGGAGAGGGGGGAGAGGGGGGGGGTGGAGGGCATTTCTGCAGTGCTCTGACTTCCTGTCTGGTGCACAGCATCAGAGCTGAGGGGGTGGGGGGGGAAGCGGTTGCCACGTCAACTGAGAGGCCGGACACGGCGTGAGGTGTTCGCTGTGGCTGCGGACTGGTGCGTGGTATTTGAGGGAGGGGTGTGTGTGGGTGTGTGTGTGTGTGTGTGGGGGGGGGGGGAGGGTCTGTCAGTCTGTGTACCTGCTGGAGACTCACGTCAGTCCCGGGTGTGGAGTCGGGGACACGGTACGCGGCGCCACCTCCAGCGGAGCGGCGCAGTTCAGCTGCAGACAGACAGACAGACAGACAGACAGACCCGAGCCGACCCCCACCACCCCCTTCCTTCTCTCTCTTGAAGCGGGGGAAAAGTATTGCAGGGGGGGGGGAAAAAAATTACCCATTTCTTGGCTCCCCCTCACCCCCTCCCGCCCTCCGCCAGTCACCATGTTGCAGTCGGCGACCACCAACTCCTGCGCGCGTCTGGTGCAGAGGAACAAGTCCACCTGGTACTTCTCCTTCCTGGCGCTCGCCTACCTGCTGTACCTCAGCTTCGGCGCCGTGGTCTTCTCCTCCGTGGAGCTGCCCTACGAGGACAACCTGCGCCAGGACCTGAGGAAGCTCAAGCGCCAGTTCCTGCAGGACAACCCGTGCCTGGCCGAGGGCAGCCTCGAGCACTTCCTCTTCAAGGTCCTGGAGTCCAACAACTACGGCGTTTCGGTGCTGAGCAACGCCACCGGCAAGTGGAACTGGGACTTCACCTCGTCTCTCTTCTTCGCCACCACTGTCCTCACCACCACAGGTAACACACACACACACACACACACAGGTAACACACACACATACACACACACACACACACAGGTAACACACACACACATACACACAGGTAACACACACACACACAGGTAACACACACACACATACACACACACAGGTAACACACACACATACACACACACAGGTAACACACACACATACACACACACAGACACAGGTAACACACACACATACACACACACAGGTAACACACACACACACACACACACACACACAGGTAACACACATACACACACACACAGGTAACACACACACACATACACACAGGTAACACACACACACATACACACACAGGTAACACACACACACACACATAGGTAACACACACATACACACACACAGGTAACACACATACACACACACACACACACACAGGTAACACACACACACAGGTAACACACATACACACACACAGGTAACACACACACACATACACACACACAGGTAACACACACACACACATACACACACACAGGTAACACACACATACACACAGGTAACACACACACACACACACAGGTAACACACACACAGGTAACACACACACACAGGTAACACACACGCACATACAGGTAACATACACTCAGGTAACACATACACACACAGATAACACATACACAGGTAACACATACACACACACACAGGTAACACACACACATAGGTAACATAGGTAACACACACACAGGTAACATGCACACACAGGTAACACGCGCACACAGATAACACACACACACAGGTAACACACACACACAGGTAACACACACACACACAGGTAACACACACACACACAGGTAATACACACACACAGGTAACACACACATATGGAGTCCTGTAGCTCAATGGTTAGAGCACTCGCTTTGCAAGTGAGAGACCTGAGTTCAATTCCAGGCAGAGGGCAAAACCTTGGGCAAGTTTCCTTACTCCACACAGAGCCTAATAATAATCCCTCCAAAACCAAAAAAAAAGTAATAAAAATTGGTCATTTTCAATCCACGACTGTTTGTGGGACTGTTTGTGGGACATTGCTGTGCGCAATTGGCTGCCGCGTTCGCCCACAAATATACAGTCAATTCACTTTACAGTGTGTTCTGTGAAGCGCTTTGGGACGTCCTCCCGACGTGAAAAGCGCTATATCAAATGCAAGGATTATTATTATTATTATATACACACAGGTAACACACACACACACAGGTAACACACACACACACAGGTAACACACACACACACACACACAGGTAACACACACACAGGTAACACACACACACACAGGTAACACACACACACACAGGTAACACACACACACAGATAACACACACACACACAGGTAATACACACACACACAGGTAACACATACACATACACACAGGTAAAACACACACACACACAGGTAACACATACACATATACACACAGGTAAAACACACACACACAGGTAACACACACACACACATAGGTAACACACACACACACAGGTAACACACACACACAGATCACACACACACACAGGTAACACACACACAGATAACACACACACAGGTAATCCACACACACATAACACACACACACAGGGAACACACGCACAGGTAACACACACACAGGTAACATACATAGAGAACACACACACACAGGGAACACACACACATACACACAGGGCACACACCCACACAGGTAACACACACACCCATACAGGTAATACACACCCACACAGGTAATATACACCCACACAGGTAACACACACACAAGTAACACACACACAACAACAACAACAAAAACTACAACTTGGATTTATATCGCGCCCTCCATGCCGGACGGCGTCTCAGAGCGCTTCACAATAACGAATCCTGGACCGAGCCAGGGGGAGGGGGAGGAAGGTGACCAAAGCCACGGTCGAAAAGAAAGGTCTTCGGAAGGGCCCTGAAAGTAGGAAGAGAGGGGGCGAGGTGAAGGGAGTGAGGAAGGGAATTCCAGAGTCTCGGGGCATAGTGGTTGAAGGCACGGCTGCCGAGGGTGGAGCGGAGGACTCGGGGGACAAGTAGGAGGCCGGACCCGGAAGATCGAAGGCAACGGGTGCTGTTTTGAGGATAGAGGAGGTCAGAGAGGTAGGGGGGTGCAGAGGAGTGGAGGGATTTGAATACAAGGGTGAGGATCTTGAAATCGATCCTCTCTGGGACAGGCAGCCAGTGCAGTCTGGCAAGGACTGGGGTGATCGGGGAGCGGAGTTTGGTGCGGGTGAGAATGCGGGCGGCAGAGTTTTGAATGATTTGGATTTTATGGATGGTAGTGGATGGGAGACCGGCGAGGAGGGCGTTAGAGTAGTCCAGCCGAGAGGTGACAAAGGCATGGACAAGGGTTTCAGCGGCTTTCGGAGAAAGGTATTTCCGGAGACGGGCGATGCGTCGGAGGTGGAAGAAAGCGGTGCTGGTGACGGACCGGATGTGGGGGAGGAAGGACAATTGGGGGTTGAACCTGACGCCAAAATTGTGAACGGGTTCGAAGAGTTTTAGGGGGAAGTCGGGTAGGTGGAGGAGGTGAGAGCTGTGGAAAAATAGAGTTGGGCGTCGTCCGCGTACATGTGGAAACATACGCCATGTCAGCGGATGACATCCCCAAGAGGGAGCGTGTAGATCAGAAAGAGGAGGGGGCCAAGGGTGGATCCTTGGGAGGAGAAGCCGTTAATGCAGATGTACTGCTGACGGTTTGTGAGGTGGGACTCAAACCAGGCGAGTGCGGTCCCACTGAGGTGGGAGGCAGAGGTCACAGATAGAGAGATAGAGAGGATGTCATCTGTGACTTTCACAGGCGCAGTCTCTGTACTGTGGGCGGAAACTGGACTGGAGGGGTTCGAAGAGGGAGTCGGAGGAGAGGTGTGCGCAAAGTTGATTGGCAACAACGTGTTCTAAGCCTTTTGCGAGGAAGGGCAGGTTAGAAATAGGGCGGTAGTGGCTGGGGTTTGAGGGATCTAGGGAAGGTTTTTTGAGAAAGGGGCAGCAGGTTTGAGGGGAGCAGGGACTGATCCGGAGGAGAGGGACTGGTTGATGACGTCAGCCAGTAGTGGGCAGAGGAGGGGGAGCTGGGTGACCAGCAAGTTGGTGGGGAGGGGGTTGAGGCAGCAGGTGGTGGGTTTCATGGAGGTGATGGTGGGTGAGAGGGAGGAGGGAGAGATGGGGAGGAAGGAATGTAGGATGGGGGTGGTGGTAGGAGTAGATGATGGTGAGGGGGACAGAGAGGGCGTGGTGGTGGGTGACAAGAGGCAGTTGGATGAGGCTGCCTGGCGGATTTTGTGAATTTTAGATGAGCAAAAGTCTATGATCTCCTCGCACTTAGCATTGGATATGAAGATTGAGGAGGCCTGAGGGGAGGTACACAGGTGACACACGGTTAACACACACACACACACACACACACAGACACAGAGGGAGAGCAACAGGCAAATAATAAGCCACACAGGTAACACAGACCCACACAAGTAACACACATCACACAGGTAACACACACCCAAACAGGTAACACACACACAAGTAACACACACACATATACACAGGTAACGTACACACACACACACAGAGGGAGAGCATCAGGCAAATAATAATCCAGGACAGTTTCTTCATGGTTATCGCTCACTGACTCCACGGCTGCATGTGGGACATTGCTGTCAAACTGGCTGCCTTGTTTAACTCACACAATACACAGTCTTTACAGTATACTTTATAGGATTCTTTACAGTTTGTCCTGTGAAGCGCTTTGCGACGTCTTGACGACATGTATCAAATGTAAGGATTATTATATTTTCAAATTTTTACCCTGAACTGACACACCATTTTATCTCTGCCTCTAGTAGGCTAAAAGTTAACTTGTAGGTCATATAAGAAAACTTGGGTAAGATCATGTAAATATCCCAAAAGCTTATGGTTTCTTGTGTAGATAGTATTGTCTATTCTGTAAAATCTGAAACCTTTTCTGTATCCGTAAAGGCCTGCTCTTCACTTCTTATAGGAGAAGGTAAGGAGGACAGGGCATCCATTTAAAATAATTAGCAAGGGAGTAATGTGGGAGGTTCAGAAGAAATATTTTACATATGCTTAATGTAGAGGGAATACTCTGCCAAGGCAAGCGGTTATTCTGGTCGAGGCAGGATCAACATTAAAAACATTTCAAGAGGGAACAAGCTAAGAGATCTAAATAGGAGTATAGTACAGGCTTATGGGAAAAGGCAGGTAAATGGGACTGAATGGTTGCTCTTTTAAAGAGCCAGCACAGACACGATGGGTGGAACGGCCTTCTTCTGTGCTGTAAATTTCTATGGTTCTTTTCTTTCCCCACATTCTCTTTCATGTTGTGTTTTTGACCCTATTCTAGTGGAAAGACTAACCTACATGTCCTTTCCAATGAAAGAGAGAGAGAGAGAGAGAGAGAGGAAGGGGAGCAGTGTTTTGACATTGGACTGGTTCCCTATTGAAGGACGGATCGATTTCAAGATCCTCACATTCATGTATAATTTACTTAATTCCCTAGCTCTCCGACCTGCTTATACCCCACTTCTCAATCTGCTCCTTTGCTCAGCTGGCTCTGGCCTCCTGTAGGACCCTCGTCCCTTCTGTTCCCCCACTGGTAGTGGTGCTTTTAGCCACCATGCACCAACTCTGGAATGCTCTGCCTCAATCCCTCCACCTTGCCTCCTCCGCTAGACCTCGTCTCTCTCCCTGTTCAGCATCAAGTTTCACTACTGCTAAGCACTCCAGAGCACTACTCCACATATTGTTGTTGTTGTTGAAAGAAAAGCCCCCCGGGTGTTTTTGTTCAACCCTGGTGTTCCTATAGAGAAGATCAAGTGGTACTATGCAATGCTGCAATCTAGGACACCAAAACATTTTCATTTTATTTTTACCAGTGACTTATGCAGTTTAAGAAATTCCTGAGCTCAGCTCCTTGCTTCAGTTGTCATTGCCTGACCCTGTCATCCAGA